AAAAAAAAAAATTTTCGAAAAAATATTTCGAAAAAAATTTTCGAAAAAAAATTGAAATTTTTTTTTTTTTTTTTTTTTTCAAATTTTTTAAAAAATCAATCTTTTTAATCGAAAAAATAAAGATTTTAGAGAGAAAAAAATTTTTTTCATTGAAAAAATGAATAAAAATCACAAAATTGCTCATAATGGTGATTTTTGCAAAAACAAAGAATTTGAAGCTTCGGGGCACAATGAAAAAAAAATCGCAGCGCTTTGAATTTTTGAGGGATTTTAGGGGACACTTTGAGGTTGAAAAATTACCGACGATATTCTTCGTTCATCCATTTTATCCAAAGTTATACCAAGTTATCCAAATATCCTTAATTTTGCGAATTTTTGTCTTTTTTTCAGTCCGAGTTTTCAATTCAAAAAAAATTTTTTTTCTAAAAGATGTTTACATTTTCTTATAGAGAATATCGTGCAGTTTTCAAAACCCTTCTTTGATTTCCTGTACGATCATTATTTCCGGAGTTATTGAATATCAAAGTCAAAAAGAACTTTTTTGCTTTGATTGACGATAACTCCGCGGCAAATCGTCGTACAGGCTTTTTGAATACGGCAAATTAAAGAGGATTAAATTCTCTAAAAGAGCTTTTGAACGAAACAATCAAAAAAATTTTTTTGAAGCCCGTGGACCTTTTTTTAGACGGGAAAAAATTTGGAAAAATTTTTTTTCGGTAGTTTTCGTAGGATTTCTCCAGACCTGGCCATGACAAAAATTTTTCATGGTCATACCTGAAAACTAGATACTTGGAGCTACAATTTGCTTTTTTTATTTTTTCTGTACGACCATTTTCCTCGGAGTTACAGCTTGTTGAAAATCACCCAAAAATTTGGAATTTTTTTTATATCCCTTAATTTTTGTGACTAGTGTATAATAAGATAATATAATAATAAGATAATGTGTAATATGGAAATATAGTGATAGTAAAATGAAAAAGAAAATTTTATGTTAAATTTATATTAATTATATATAAAGAAAAGGAAAAAAAATTTTCAATCAAGGTTTTGCGCTGTTTCCACTCGTCCCCCCAAGGCCGGGGATAATCTTATCTTCGGTCTTGTGAGTCCTAAAGCAGCAAAACTTTTTCAGAATTTAGAGAAATGTACTGTTTTCCATTATACTATCTACTATATATGAAAATATTTGAAAAAAAGGAAATTTTATTTATGATTTCTAGATTTTAATTGTTTTATACAAACTGTTGGCTCGTTTTTGGCAATTTAATTTTTGTTAAAATGAAATTTCTTAACAAGAGAGAAGAAAAAAAATTTTTTGTTATCATTTTAAGTTATTTTCTTACTTTTCCGCAAAGGAGCCATCTGTTTGTAAAAAAAAAATTTATAAATAACCTTAATTTCTACGATGTTGATGGTGGGTTTGTCGTTTAGATCGGTGATTTGTAGTCTCTTAGTCGGAATGTTTTCGACTTCTTTGATGCTTCGACGGTCTCAGGAGCCTCTTTCGTTGTTACATTTGTTTCCATGGAGACGTTCTTCTCGTTGTCAGTATCGGTTTTTGTTGGAAGTGGTTTGTTGACTTTCGGCAGGCTTGGTGGTTTTTACAACTGATATTATTCCAATCGTTGATACCGATCCGATAGTTATTTTCCTATTAGTTTCTTCTTTCTGGTAGTCCAGGGCTATTAGTGACATTTTTTCTTCGTTTTCTTCTAACCCCTGGCCCCAAGGTTCGAATTTGTCGATGATGGTCGCTGGATCTTGAATTTGTTTGAATAGATTTGGATCTGTGTTGTTGATTTTCAGGCTCGAGTTCAGTGTTTCCAACGAAAGGTTGAGACTTGGGGCGATGAAGTCTATTTTTGTTGGCTCTCTAGCGATCCCTCGAATAGTGTATTCATTGCAATTCACTTGGCATCCTCGTTGGATGTGAATCAGGCCAGTTCCATTAATTACTTGATTTTCAGCGGTTTGTCCTGGACATCTCCATTGAATGTTTTCTTCTCTGCACGTCGAATATGCCCAAGTGTTTTTCTCGTTCATTTTAATCCAAGTCAACTTGCATTTTGGAATTATTCTTATATTACACTCTCGTAGATTTTCTGCTTTTGGATCCATTAATAATTTCATTTCACAGTCTACCTCATTGTCTAACTTGGTTGTTTTAGACGGAAGGTCCGGTGGACATGCCATGTCTGGTCCAATGGGCCTGCAACTGTTGATGTAGTTTTGTTCGGTAAGAAAATATTCATCAAACGATGGCTCTGATATAAGATATCTTGAGGTAGGTTGTATGGTTAATGTTGAAATTTGGTCTCCAATTTTCTCGGCTTTTGGAAGTGATTTTAGCTCGTATGCTAACCATGGTGTCTGGTCGAATAGTGGAACTGTAATTATTATCAGAAAATGTCCGCTTGTTTTTCCTGTTTCTACCATGGATACCTTGGCTAGTGCATTGATGTCCATGTGATCCAAAGGCAGAGGTGGGTTTAACGTTGGATGTTTTTTCATTATGTCAGCAGTTGCTTGATGTAGTTGTTTGGCTGACAATGTTAAATAGGTGAGTTTACCCCATTTTGCATCTTAAGATTTGTTATTTGTTATTGTTATTAAGAGTCCTTAGGTGATTGGTCATCAGGTGAATATGCTCATCTCCAGCCATTGAAAATAATTGGCTTCTTTGAAGGTCACTTAGTTGTTTGTTTACTGCTTGCTTGAGGTAAGCTGATGTTCGAACCAGATCCTTGATTCTCTCAGTTATGTTTATTTCATGTTTGAGAATTTCATTTATTTCACTCTTGATGATGTGAGTGTTGTTTTGTGATAAATGTATTAATTCCCTGTTGTCTTGATATAGTTTGCCTATTTCTTTGGTGATGTGTTCCTTATCGCTGTAATCCATGGTTCCGAACAGTTCTCGTGCTATTGTGCCTACAAATTTGTTTTTTTCTGAAACAGACAACTTGGGTTCTTTTTAGTCGAATTTTTCGCAGCTGGCTGGTTTAGCCTTATTTGGATGGAGTAATTTCCGTTTCCCGTTTTCTTTTTCTATTATTAAATTCCCCATTTCGTTTATCTCAACTATTTCGTATGGGCCGGTATAGTAAAGGTCTAATTTATTTTTTCTATGTTCTTTTAACGTATATATGAGGTCTCCTACACTAAATTTTGCCGGGTGTATATGTTTGTCAAATCTGATTTTTGATTCGTGTTTAGCTCTCGTTAAATTTTCCGCGGATATTCGTTGAATTTTAGATATTCGACTGATTAAGTCGGCTAAGTAATCGTTATAAGATTCTATTTTACTGAAATCCGGAAATTGAGTTGGAGTTCGAGCTTTTCTTCCGTACAAAATTTCGTATGGTGTAAATTTCGTGGCGGTATGGACGGTGGTGTTATATTTTAACATTGCCAATGGGACGTACCGATCCCAGTTACTAAATTTATCTACATACGCTCGGAGGTAATCGATTAAAGGCTGGTGAGATCGATCCAGAGCTCCGTTCGACTGTGGATAATAAGACGAAGTCGTTATTCTTTGAATTTTTAACGCTTTAGCTAGCTGTTGAATTAATTTACTTGTAAACGAGGTGCCCTTATCTGATAGAATTACACGGGGGCACCCGTAAAGGGCAATGTAATGATTCAATAAGGCATCTGCAACGGTTACTGCTCTGATATCAGGGAGAGGAACCGCCGCAGCTGCTTTGGAAAAATTATCCTGGATGGTTAAAATGTGTACGTTTCCGTCGGGAGTCATGGGTAGAGGTCCCACCGTGTCTATACTAATTTTTTCAAAGGGTTCGAAAGGTGTATCGGTGATGGACATTGGCTGTTTCGTTTTTATTCACGTAAGTTTATTTTTCTGGCATATCTCGCATGCTCGGATGTAGTTATAGATTTTATCTTTCATTCCCGGCCAGTAATATTTTTCGCGAATACGCCAATATGTTTTTACCACTCCTTTGTGGCCCCCTATTAAGCTGTTGTGATTTTCTTCGATTATTTTTGTTCGAAGGGATTCGTCTGGTACTTCAATGTTCCCTTCACACAAAGTGACTGTTATCGGACAGTCTCTTAATTCATGCGATAAGTAAGCTTGAATGTCGAGATCATCGAACTCGTCCCCCTGTTTTGCACAGCGGAGCGTATGAATATCATGTTTGTGCGTCGACTGTCAAAGGTTTCTCAATCCTTCAATCAAGTCGATTGGGTCTAATTTTTCAAAATGTTTTGTTTTGATAAATACCGTGAAGATTTTGCAACGACCTAATTTGGTGACAAATACGTCTCCTTTTGTAGGTTTTGAAGCATGAAGATCATCGGCATTTATGAATTTCAAGTCGCGAAGCAGCTTAGCTACGGGTTTTATTATTTCGCAATCGGCTGCTAAAAAATGTACTAAATGATCTCGGGCATAAGTAAGCCCGTCTCGGCTGATTGAGAATTTGATTTTTATTTTGGACCCTTTTGGCGGTATACTTTCGTCTGAACTCGAGGGTGAAGATATTCTTGGTCGATGGTGCCTTTCAGCAAAAATATCTTCGGCCTCTTCGAAGGTTGGAGGGTCGTAGGCAACAAAGGGTGGTCCGAATCGGCGGTTCCCTATATCGTTCCCCACTGTAATATTACCGCTTATAGTTGGTCTATCGTTAGATTTTTCTGAACTATTTCGCGATTTATTTTTGTTATTATTTTGTGTATTCGTTAATCTAGTGATATTTGACGATTTTTCATTTGATTGTCCCTGTTCCGATTCGATAGGGGTTTTGTTGGGGTCGGCCGATTCGGTTTCGGCCGTTTCGTTTATTCCCTTACCGTTTTGGTCTACGATTTGGCGGCTTGCGTGGTCATAACGGATACCCATAGCCGCTAGCTCATCAGGTATGAGAACTCTTCCGAATATTGGAGTTCGAGGTTCTGGACCGTCTCCTAAATACCCTGTAAACTGAGATCGATTTACGTTTCGAGGAGTTAGAGTATTTTTGTTGGATTCATTTTCTTCATCATCTGTATAGATGACGTTTCTTGTATTAATGTCGTCTGCTGAGGTCGGAGGCCTTGGCTCTATGATGATGGGATGCTCCACTTCGCTGAGATCTTCGACTCCTCCGGTTTCTTCTGGGCTGATATCGCTTGATCCTTCTTCAGACTTGTCGCTATTCTCTCTAAGAAATTCGTCGACATTAATTTCAGGTGTTGTATCTTCATTTAACGAGTCATCTTCACTTCGCCAGAGAGGTGGAAGTTTGTTTAATGATTGGCGAATATTTTTCGCGGTGTCGGAACTAGTTCGTTTTATTTCGGCATACTCCTGGGGAGTATAATTAGATATTGCTTCTTCTCTGTGGATTCTTTCTAGTGCTCTCTCTGTGTATATATTTTCTGCTGGAGGCCGCCTTTGGAGGAGCTCATCGAACATTTTTACTAGTTCGCGAGTTTTTCGCCGTTGTTTTTGTGGAACGATCGTTTCGTTGTCCTTTTCGGCTTCATCTTCCTTCTCTGATTCGTCGTCCCCCTCTTGGCTAATGTCTGGAGTCGGATTACTCGTGGATGGTCCTGGTGTGGAAACTGGTAGGAAGACTTCGTCGTCCCCCTGTTTTTCATTTCCGGTTTCCTGTGTCTTCTCCGGGTCTTCTGAAGTTATATCGAAGTTGCTAGTTTCGTGATAATTTATTTTCGGTGGGACTCGCGTTTTTCCCATCTCCCTTTTCCTAAGACGAGAGGCTATTGTATCTCTCGCTTCAGGAGCACTGCTGACTCTTGGTTTGTTTTTAGATCCTAGGGGGTGACCGGGGCGCTTGACCGCTTCAATCGCCTCCGAGTCAGAGAGTTTTCTATGTGACCCTTTTGGTCTTGGTTTAGCAGAGATTGGTAATGCTAAAGGATTATTTACGGTTTTATTATTTATCTCATTTTCTGAAGGTTCGGGACGACCTTCTGGGTTATACGAGAGTCCTTCTGCGTATTGTTCAGTAATTTTGTGGCGGACTACGACATTAAATTTGTATCTACTTAATTTAGAGCGCCATTTAGCTTGTCGTTCGGTGACGGTTGCGCTATCTCTTAACCAGGTGATGCAAGGGCTACTAGTTATGAGAGTAAAATATTTTTGAAGATACGGTCTGAGCTGTTGAATTGCGTAGACTACCGCGAGGCATTGTTTTTCGACGTCTGTGTATCGGGTTTCAGTGTCGTGAAAGACTCTGGAGACACACGAGACTATCTTTTCTCCGTCACCGTCTGGGTAATCGTCTTCCACTGTCGTTGCTTGACTGAGAATTCCGGATATTCCCGAGTCCGATGCGCTGACAGCCAGGATAAAGGGTTTATTAAAATCTGGATATTTTAAAAAAGAGTCTTCGCAGAGGGCATTTTTGATATCGTCAAATGCCGTTTGCGCTTCCTCTGTCCATATAAATGGTTTAGTTTTTCGCGTAAGGTCTGTTATGGGCTTGGCCCTTTCAGCGAAATTTTGGATAAATCGACGGTAATAGTTGGCAAGTCCCATGAATTTTCTGGCTTCCGTTTGATTTCTAGGTCGCGAGGCATTTTTTAGTGACTCCACCTTTTTCGGGTCGGGTCTTATACCTTCTTTTGTTATTACATGACCTAAGTAATCTACTTCCGGACAGAGAAATTTACATTTTTCCGGTTGAAGCGTGAGACCTGCTTCTCTCAATCTATTAAATAGTCTTTGTACTCTTACCCCATGCTCTTGTAGGGTTTTGCCATAGCTAACTAGATCATCGATATAAATAAAGAGTTCCGTCCCTTTTAACCCGCTTAGCGTAGAGTCCATCATTATTTGAAAGATAGATGGAGCGCATTCTAGACCAAAGGGCATACAACGATATTCCCAATGCCCGTCTGGCGTAGAAAATGCTGTTTTATGCGCATCTTCGGGGTGCATCGGGATCTGGTGGAAACCCATGGCGAGATCAAAGACGCTGAAGAAATTTGCGTCGCCTAACTGGTCTAAAATATCGATAATTAGCGGTAAGGGATAGGCATCCCCTCTGGTTATTTTATTTAGTTGTCTAAAGTCGATAACCATTCTATATTTTTTTATAGAAGGGTCACTGGATTTTTTTGGTACAATCCATAAAGGTGAATTGTACGGAGAGTTAGATTTTCTTATTATTCCTTGTTTTTCGAGGGTTTCAACCTGCCTGGCGATTTCTTCCGGATGTTCTGGGGGAAATCGGTACTGTTTTATTCTCACCGGTTCATTGGTGATAGTTTCGATCCGGCAGGTGAAATTTTTCGAGCAACCCAGCTTATCTCCAGGAAGATGGAAGACATTGTGATTGTTTCGAATAAGAGTCTGAACTTGCTCTTTTTCTTCTTCGTTTAGATGACTTAGAGGTATTTTCTGAAGTATGATCTTAATACGTTCTTCCGGGTTAGCTATACGATTGGAATTTTCGAGAAAAAGGTCATCGGATTCGTCCCCACTTGAGCTAGAGTTACTGAACTCGAACTCTTCGAGTGCTTGGGGTCCGATATTTATGTCAACTGAATTTGAATTAAGGTTGATAACCATGCACGTGGCGTACCCATCTTCTACCTTAACAACAGCCTCTCCTCCAAGCACTCCGTCCGGAAGATTCATTCGAGGGAGGTATCCCTCGCTTTTCTTGAAATCTTGGACTGGTACTGCTACTACCATTTTCATGCGAGGCGGCAATGTGTTTTTGTGTACCAACCAAGCTACCAAATAACTTCCCAATTTTTGAATAATTTCAATTATCTTAGCGGGAAGTTAAAAATTATAATTTAATGTCCTTTTTTTTTAAATTACAGACCTGTGCTTATACTTGCAGCGAAAACGGGACATAATAGCCATTCCAGGAGCCGACGATGACATTGATATTTACCGTCCCAATTGATCAGCTCAATTTTCAGAGACTGTCGAAACAACTTAAAAAATATAAATAATTTAAACAACCTATTGTACTTCTTCATAAAGAAATATTTAGAAAATAAACACATTAATGATTGGAAAACTTATTGAACTTCCTTGTAAAGAAATACCAGAAATGTAAATAGCGTACTACGTGCCCGCCTTAATTTTAACAAATAGTAGTCATTGTCGTATGTAATTTAAGACCTAATCTTGAGTTTTTTCAAAAATCTAAAATTAGCGAGAATTTGCAGGGATGGCTTGTAGGGTCTCATGTTCTAGTAGTTTTAATTCCCGTTTGTCGAAATTAAATGTACTTCCACGATAAATGTAATCAATTCTAATTGACATTATTTTCAATTTAATTTCAGAATACAATAATGGGCAGTTTGCTACCCCACTTTTTTCAAGAAACTCGAACAGTTCATTCACAAGCTCGCTCGAATCCAGTGAAGAATCATCTGTAAGTGGATTGCATATGACCTTATCGACGCCACCAACACCGATACCTGTAATGGTTACTGCACCCGATGATTTGTCACGCTGCAGCAGTGGAAAAAACGAAGTTAGCTGTCTGTAATTAAATTTTCATGAGTTATTTATAAAAAACTCAACAACTAACATGATATCTTAAATTATATTTTCGAGAATAATTATATTGATTTTAACAACCCGAAATATTGTAGTATGAATTTATATAATGGCTTGATGAGATAATTTTCTGAATCAAACTATGAAATTTAGAATATATTCAATTTGGCCGATTTTTAGTAGATTTCATAAAAATCTAACTATTGCAGCCGTCCTCATGACGTAACTTTTGAAAAATCTAGTCATTTTCCAACTCAGTTTGTTGAGCTGAGTCAGAAAATGTATTTTGTTTAAAAGTTTATATATGTATGTATGTATTTATGTATATTAAAACAGTGATACTTTAGCAGGCTTTGTGCCCTCCTGACTAAGATATCCTATTTCGCGCCAGAGATGTTCTGGACGCCACCAGGAGAGTTCATTGATGTTGAGTTCACTCGGCCTCCTGGAACCGAGTTACTAAGGCTAGCTCACTCTCAGGGAGTGGGTATCCAAAACTGATATTCGGTCACGGAATATAACTTAATCAACTAATTATTAATAATTGAGATGAAAGAGGCTAAGTTGTTGCAATTATTGGCACGGCACAAACACAATTAACAAAAAAAGACCATTCGGCAGCCGAAATGGAAGTAAATTTCATCATAAATAGAAAAAAATATATCGAGAATTGTGTACAAAACTAGGTCTTCTAACTTCTATGCAATCGACAAAAATTTGTATCAACAGAAAAATACTAAAACCAGTGCAATAGCAAATTTCATAATTGGCATAGCGGAATAGGACATAATTTTGAGACTACACATATGATATAGTACTCAAATTGAAGCTTATTTAAAGAGCTTTCAGATGCAGTTTACAGAATTTCAATAAGTTATCCCATTCAAAAGTTATTCGAGAAAGAACGTGAAAAAATATGAATTTTTATGATTTTCAAAATTTTGAAATCCTGGTATTTCTAAAAAATTCCACGATTACACATATGATATGGTACTCAAATTAAAGCTAATTTAAAGAGCTTTCAGATGCATTTCACAGAATTTCAATAAGTTATCCCATTCAAAAGTTATTCGAGTAAGAAAGTGAAAAAATATGAATTTTTATAATTTTCAAAATTTTGAAATCCTGGTATTTTTAAATTACTTGACCGATTAAGCTCATCTTCGAATTTGACTTTAGTATTTATCTGTAGAGTAAGTATGTTGAGTTTAGTAGAGATCCGTTGTAAATTGGCGACGCTATCGTCGTGACAAGCCGCGTTATATCCGATATATATAAATATATATATATTGTAACAGGCCGCTTTTAGCGCCACCTGTTAAGACGTTTTTTTTTATTGTTGATAATTTTAATTTTTTTTGAATTTAAAAATTTTTAAAAGAAAATTTAAATTGAGCGCTAGAGATAATTGTTGTCCATTGGTTGGATTCGCCGCGACCGAGTCGCCCTAGCGCGAGAAAATGCGACCGAAGCTCGATTGCGCGCGAAACGAAAATTTATTGGGATTACGAATTTAATTTAGCAAATAAGTTAGTTTTAAGTAATTGTAATTGTAAGAATGGTACTTATGACCGGTCACGAACCCGCGAAGAGAGACCAACGAGGATTACCGACGTGGATTCTCTACAAGATCATCGACGACGGGCGGATGGCTGTCTCGAGAACGAGCTGGAACGACGGACCTATAGGAACTCGAAGTGAGCAATCGACGCATGCGTGAAGGCGGAAAACTGGCTGTCGAGCGCGCCAATGCTCCAGCCAATGCATCACTCAAAACGTCGATATTGGGAAATTGGACTTACGGCGCCATCTCTGGAGTTCAAAGCTAACGACGGACCCAGCAAAGAGGGGAGAGACGAGGAATGCGACATGTGCTTAATTTTTCGATCTTCCACGTTTTCGATTTGCCGCGTGCGGACACGTTTTTTTCTATTCTGAAGAATTGTTGGTTATTTTTTTTTATTACTGCCTGATTTTGAGATTTATCACAAAGAATACTTTTGTAATTTCTTGCGTCTGAAATTTGAGTATTTCGTTTAATTAGCCACGACGTAGTGTGCTATATGTTGATTATTGTGTTTAATTGCGATTGTGTTTGCCAAAAATTTATTACGGCATTACGACGATAATTGGCTGTCGCCAATTATTTATTTAATAGAAGCGTGATCTATTACGACGTTTTATTTGGATGATCGCTAGTTGACGTGTGCAAGTGACGAAAAATCAGCACGTATCCTCGCCGAGGAAGGTCATTGTCCGAGATCGTTCGACGTGGAAGCCGAGTACGACCTGGTGCGACCAATCGACGGACAACGTAGATTTACGTCTTCGACCAGGGTGAGTGCCACGGTTTTTCTTAGGTAAATAGCTCGTGGGATTTATTTGAATAAAGAATTTTTTTTGTTTATTATTAATTATCCGTAATTAATATTCTTGTTGCTTGGTGTGACACATCACCAAGGAATGTCAAGGTTGCATTAAGTCAGCCGGTAAAATAATAATCCCACGAGGTATTTCGGTACCGCCATTGTTGTTATTTTTTTTTTGTGTACTAATGTATGAAATTTAAAATTAAAATTGTTACTATCATTCTTTTTTGTAATTTCGACGTTTACTCCCGGGGTTATCGACGAGGTCGATTACCCATTGATCGAGCTTCGGATTCGTGCGGATCAATTACCTATTTATTATTTAAATCTGGCGAATAAACAGAAGTTAATTTAATTAGATTAATTATTAATTAATTTTATAATGTATTAAAGCCGGCGAGTGTAATAACTTATTATATAATTTAATTATTACTTAACTGCGGCGAACGAATTTTTTTAAATTTTTTTTTTTTTTTTGGTTAATTAATAACAACTGACTTTAATTGTTATTAATTGAATTTCGAGGACGTTATGTTATGGTTATTATTGGTATTATTTAATCAATGAATTTCAATTAAATTACGCGAAGATTTAATTTTTTTTTGTTAATTAGTTAATTAATTGCGATTGAGTGAATTGCGGGGAGATTTATTGTGTTGTTGTCGTTAACTGATTCAATTAACTGAGTGAGCGACGTTGATATTTTTTTTTTGAGAGTGTTGATTGAAATTTACCGAAGTTTTGTTATTTGGAGAAAGTTTGACGTTGTTTTTCTTGCGAAACTGCGTATCGACGGCGTATCGACGAGATCGTCGACGATTATAATTTTTTGCGTTTAATTATTTTATTTTGTTAATCTTGACAATTATTTAAATTTATTGTTAATAAATTAATAACTTAATTTTTTTTTTTTTGCGAGTTAATGCGAATAGCCCGAATACTTTCCTCGTTCCTCTATAATTAAGTCGTACCCGTAAGGCCCGCCACCCGACAAAAGGAGTCCCGAACCGGAGTAGCCGGACATCGACGTGATTGGAGCAAACCTCCTGGCGCCCAACAATAGGTAAAGCAGGTAGGCCAGATTATTTATTTCGGGCTTCGTCCTCGCATAACGCACGAGTACGAAAATACCCGTTATAGTTGTGGGAACCATTCCTATACTGTTATGGGAATGGTTCCCATAAATTATGGAAACCATTCCTATAATAGTATAGGAATGATTTCTATAGCATTATGGGAACCATTCCCATAATATTATAGGAATAGTTCCCATAATATAATGGGATTAGTTCCCATAGTGATATAGGAATAGTTTCTATAATAGTATAGGAATTATTCCTATAGCATTATGGGAACCATTCCCATAATGGTATAGGAATAGTTCCCATAATTTTCTTTCCGTGTACTTCTTTCGCATTTGTATATAAAATAAATATGATTTTATCGATTTGATAATAGGTGTTAAAGATGAAATCCACTAATGCAAGAATTTAATTGTTTATAAATTTATTTATTTGAAAACAATATATTTATTTACAATAAAATAAAATAAATTATTTCCTAATCTAAGCTGACTGCGAAAAATAGTTTTCATCATTGATCATTCCAAGTAGAGTAATAAAACAACAGTAACAAATAGCAAAAGATAATTCAATTGTAATTGGCTAATTTTTAACAATGTACCTTGGAGTAAATGGGAAGAAGAAGAAACATGTTAAAGCGAAAATACATCAAGGAAAAATGACTCTATTAGCGTAACACGTGGGGAGATCAAGATGAACTTCAAGGGTAAGAGTTGATGAAAGCAACTGAGAAAACAGCAACAAGTTTTCGAAACAACAGACCGTTAACTACAACTTTTAACAACAGCTATTTGTAACCAACTGAAATAGTATATTTTTCTACCTTGTCTTCGCTACATTTACTTGCACATCAAGACACTACTTATAACATATGATTTCTTTTATACTGGATTTATTGCGTCATTAACACTTGCTTATGTTCATTTATTTTCGTACATTTTTGAAATCAATATTCAATATTATATTACCTAATTTCTTTTTGAATTTAAATTTTGTTAAAAGATAGAATTTAAAAATTTTATTAATTTTTGGCAAATTAGTCTTGTACATGACCTTTATGTCCATATTGAAGAAAAAAATTTTAAAAACAAGAGACAAGTTTTAATTAAGTTTTATCTGTTTATTTTGAATCAAAATGGTAAAACAATTAAGAAAAAAAAATTTTTTTGTTTTTTGAAAAAATGTTATGAATTAAATTTTTTTTTTGAACTGATTAAAAAAATTAATTTTATTCAAGAGAAAAAATGTTGAATTAAGAATATCATTTTGAAGAGTTTGACAGTTTTAAATTAAGTAAAAAATTTATAAACTGAAAAATTATTCTTCTTGATTGAAAAAAATCCAATTCTTTAAAGTTATTTTCTTGATTTAAGATCTTTGCTCTTAAATTAAATTTTTTTTTGTCAGTGTGGTTAAAAAAAAAGTGCTGAATGGATGTACGTTTGATTTAATAATTTGTCGCAATGTATTAATGTTAAATAAAAAAAAAAAGTTCAAAACCAAGTTCACCCTTATTGAACAAATGGAATTATATACTTAATCAAGTTGAGTTATAAAAAGTAAAGAATAAAAAGGGGTGAAAATACGCGTGCGAAGAGGGATAAAAGACAGGTGAAAGGGTGATGACGAAAAAAAGAAAACTTATAAATAATCGAAGCCTCTTCAGTATGTCGGTACTTTTTACATGAAACATTGATCCAGTGTACACGATATTATCGACTATACTACAGATCGATACAATTTATTGATAATTAATTATTCTAATCAATTTTTATATTTCTATGATTAAAAATTTAGAATTTAAAATGAGCAATAATTTTTTTTATTTTTTAGGGTGACTTATTTGGCGGTTTGAATAGCGGACTACAAGACGGTCTGCTTTCGAGGGCAGAGGCTCTGGCAGCTGACTTAGGAAAGCACAATGCAGGCACGCCGATGCCTCTTAAGCATGATCCTGTATCTGTATATCATCACGGGGCACACATGCCTAGTCCACACCCAAACAATCGGCCGCACCATCAGGTACAATCACACCTATTTGTGAGTCTAACTTGTTAAAAATTTATTATTATTAGAATTAATTTAATTTTTATCGTTAATTTTTAAAAACTGAGCTTGTTATTTCTCGTTATTAATTGATTATCAGTATTGGTTACAATTAGGAAAAGTAATTCATGTCATTCTATTAAATTTTATCCTGACCTACTTTTTATTAAAAGTTTTTTTTGCTCATACCTCAATTAAATTTTAAATAACATACTTGTTACAAAACCCGATAATATTTTATTGAGTTTTGTACTTTAAATTCATCAAAATTATTCTAAATGAAATAGCGAGAAATGTTTTTGTTAATTTTCGACGCCAAACTCAATAAACTCGCTACGTTCGTCCGGATAAATTACTCGGTCTTGATAATAATGCGCCCATAGCCTCAAACTTGTGACGTCACTTAAAGCCGTCAAAATCCCTCCCTTTGCGCATATGTATCGAAAATAACTATTTTGTGTAATATGACATAATAATTGACATACATATTTTTAGAAAAAATAAAAAATTATTATAAATTTTTTGTTTATTCTTATACACAGTCCGATATGGTCATTTCAGAACATTTTTTCACGGATAGTTCAATTATTCAAGTAAATATGCTAAATTCATAGGCCTCATTACCCTACTACAATTAAAATGCATAATTTTGTTCATATTTATAGTTTACTGAGAGAAGGAAAAATTTTTATCCAGACAAGGATTTTTTAGCTCAAAAATTTGTTAAAATGAACCATTTTAATTTATTAATTTTAATTCCTTGACAAAAAATATCAATATCTGTCTTTGTTAATAATGAAGTTATAAAGAATTTTATAATTGAAACGGGTAAACATGCGAATAGCGTCTTAAATTAAATAAAATTTATTTTTGTCAATCCGACCAATTCTTCCGACAAGAAAACAGATCATTGATAATTATCAAGAATACGTACGTATTAAACACGTGTTTTTGAGTCAAGAATAATTTCTTAATCGAAGCATTTTTTTCTCACTGTAAAAATTACTTTTTTTTGTTTAATTATTATATAAAATGTCCTTAAATAATGACATTAACATCAAAATTTATAGATTTATAGTTTTTTTTTCATTATTAATATCTCTTAACTAGACTAGGCCTTATATTACCTGCGGGTACTTTAGTATGCAAAAATTTTAGATTCAAATAATACACGGAAAAAAGTAAACTGTAATAAGGAACAGTCGATTTATAATAAATAATAGTTTAAAAAAACTAAAAACACACTTTTTATAGAAAACCAAACTAAAAAATAGAAAATAAATTTTAATAAATTTAAATTAAGAATAGTGTTAAAAATTTCAATAAATATAAATTAATAATAGTGTAAATAAAAAAAAATGTATTTTATTTTAAAAAAAGCGTGGGGGGCTTTTTAAGATATTATCAAAATGATAATCACTCTACTCATATCTGTCAATAAAATATTTATAACTATTGACACCATGCACCCCACGCTTTTTTTAAAATAAAATACATTTTTTTTATTTACACTAGTATTAATTTATATTTATTGAAATTTTTAACACTATTCTTAATTTAAATTTATAAAAATTTATTTTCTATTTTTTAGTTAGGTTATCTATAAAAAGCGTGTTTTTAGTTTTTTTAAACTATTATTTATGAAGATCACGGTCCAATTCAATGTAGTTTAATTATAATTAGCAATAAACTAAAATCCACTTATCGTTTGTAGATTTATATCTATGTAAATAAGGTTCGTTTACAACACATGCGCAGTAGCTTTCTTTTCTGGGTGGGCAATGGCGCGAAAGATTTAAAAGTATTTGTATTTTATTTTAATCAATTTTATTATGAATAAATAATAGTTTAAAAAAACTAAAAAACACGCTTTTTATAGAAAACCAAACTAAAAAATAGAAAATAAATTTAAATTAAGAATAGTGTTAAAAATTTCAATAAATATAAATAAATAATAGTGTAAATAAAAAAAATGTATTTTATTTAAAAAAAAAGCGTGGGGTGCATGGTGTCAATAGTTATAAATATTTTATTGACAGATATGAGTAGAGTGATTATCATCTTGATAATATCTTAAAAAGCACCCCACGCTTTTTTTAAAATAAAATACATATTTTTTATTTACACTTTTATTAATTTATATTTATTGAAATTTTTAACACTATTATAATTATTATTTTTATTGAATTATTAAATGATTAATTAATTAAATTATTATTTTTATTAAATTAAATTTTCAGTAAGTAATTTATTGATTAGTGAGAATAAAATAATTATTTATAAATATTATAAATACGGGGAATCAGAGTTCGATTTCGGAGAGGGAGCCTGAGAAACGGCTACCAGAACCAAGGAAGGCCGCAGGCGCGCAAATTACCCACGGAGAGTTACATACTGAATGACATACTGACATACTGACATACAAGTGAAGCTAATAAAAAGCGTGTAATAATAAAAAAAAGACATGAGTGTTGCTATAGCTGAAACGAAAGGATGAGTCAAATATTAGAGAAAGGTTGAAGACAGACGAGTCAATATAAATGTATGTCAAAATATATAGAACAATTTTATGATACTGAAATTGAAATACATCTGACACTTTTTGAAAATTTTTTAAGAGATTAAAAAAAATATAAATGCAATTTTTTAAAAATAATTTTCTAGACCTAATTTATTGTTAAAAAAAATCAAATAATTTTTAAGTGTCTTCCAACTTGAATCTCATGAGATTCATAATATAATACTAAATATAAGTTAGCCGACGTTTTTAATTTTTTTTTTTCAATAATTAAATTAGAACAAAAAAAATATTTTCTAAAAATTGCGCTTACAGTTTTTTATAAATGAAATTTCTTTGTAATAGTTTTTAGATGTCGGCTAACTTAATTTTCATATCGGATTCTGCGGATTCTGCTATATTGCAGGTAGGATAGATTTCTGTACAAATAAATTTTTTTAATAACCTGACATACCACTAGTCGTTTCATAAAAATAACCTCATCGCCAAATATCTGTTCTGTTTCTACTGTGCTGTATCAATTTATACTACGTAGCATACGTGTTTGTTGTTAAACTATATCACAACATTTAATCATTTAATAATAATATAAAAAATTCTCAATACAACATTGCTGACTATTCAATAAGATTATCAGTTTGAGCAGTTAGTGACGTACTTACAAAATGTCACATTCAAGAAGTAAATATTTTAACTAATCAATAAAATTTTCTAATCTACCCAGTAAATCTTCGTTTTCTATTTTTTTTTTTTTTTT